GGTTTAAAAAAATAAAAATAGATGAATTGAGATCAAATACAGATTGGAATCTGACAGAATAAAGAACAAGTAGATAACGTTTATCAATCTAACATGTTTCACTTTTATTAAAGCTTCATCAGAGAATGAGATATGGAGAGAGGAAATAAAAGAAAGAAATTATGGTAGTTTTACTTTTGTGTTTGATTTTTGTTAGCTTTTCAGGTTTAACAAGCATTTAAATTTTTAAACCAATGTTAGCATAATTTGCAGCATTCTGAATTCAAGGAGAGATGACTTGTTCATCTGAAGTTTCAAGAAATTAACAGATTACAAGCCTAACTGAAAAACCATTACCTATTGCTTTATGTATGTAAGTGCATAATAATTCTAATTTGTCTATGTGGGATTCAGATGATGCATATTCATAAGGGTATGTACGTAGACATTAGGTTGTTTTTTTTTTTTTTACATGTTGGTTTGTGAATGTTTTACTTACATATTGTAATCTATATAAATAAACGGCAAATTCTGTATGTTTTATCAAGAATCTCAATATATATTTAGTTGCCATTGGTTTTATCTTTTATGTAATGCTCTACATAGGTGATCTTTTTCAAGGATTTTATTTATTCAGAAAGTTTTCAATTCCTGGTGGCCAAGTTCTTATATCGCTCATTTTAAAGCACCATAATCAACACTTATTCTAGGCTTTATTTTAAGGTCCAAGTCACCACCCTTAAAATGCTTTAACTAATTTTGAGCACCACGGTCAGATATTGTTTCTGCTCTTTCCACTCCCAAAATTTTGTGAGCAGCTTTGAAGCCCCTAATTTAAAATCTATGTGTCCCTTTGGGAAATGGGCAATCATTGCTCTGCACAACTTTCTATTCCTTGTAGCCATCAGCACTGTTAGTCTCTCTGCCAAGCCTACAACACCGTGTTACACCATCCATTCATATAAGCTTATCAGTTAAATGATCCACTGCCTTTTAATTCCTTGGGGAACATAGGGCCACAACAACACCTCTCCAACAGATGCAGTGCCAGGCGATCCTCTTCAGCTTGGCCCATGTCATGCCGGCTGCATTCCCAGGGGATTTTCACCAGCACATGTCACATGCTCCACTTTGGAAGACTCTTCCTCAGCTATGTCGTTGTTTGACAATATCGTTGAGGTTTCTGTAACAAGTAAGCTTTAAAGCGAGTAGGTTATTAGCCTACTGCACAACCCTCAATCTGGAAGACCAAAGCGTGTTGTTCATCTGGCTCCTACCCCACAGTCCTGTTGAGCTTGGTAGGACTTGCTAAGGGTTGAACCATATTTCTGTTGGCTTCAGTTTTCTCATCTGTGAGAAGATTGTTTCCCCCCCACCCTCCGCATTCACTGCCATAGAAAATGATTGACATTAGATAACAATTCAGCACTTATTTATTTCTAATGACATCACCCTCACCATTTCTCAGTACTTTTCTTCACTTTCAGATGTGATTGGATTCTGGGAATCATTTTCCAGATCGATAAATTCTCTATTTGTCTTATGTTGACATAACCACTTTACATCTTGGACTTTTTCCATTCACTGACAGCGATGCATTGTCTTTTTACAATTGATGGTTTGTCCTTTTTTTTTTGCTTTCTTTTTTACTACTTTGTCTAGAAGGTCCTGCAGTTTTCTGTGTCTTCCATCAACACAGTATACCTTCTATCATTAAGATAATCCCACTGATTAATAAATCCTGGTAGAGGTCTCAACTATTAAGATAGCCTCACTGTTAGGGTTTAATAAATTCAATACAAATTCAATACAAATTCAAATTTTCCAGAATGTTTCTGCTGTTGCAATGGTGGAAACAAAAAAGGTACCATGGCACAGATTTGATAATACAATAAGACTCAATGGCATGACCTGAAATGAATTTAATTTTACTAAAATCTACATATGAACCCATGATGTTTATTTTGTATAGTTGTGAGAAGAAGAGAAGAGAAAAAAAAGAAAAAAGAAGAGAAAAAAGAAGAGAAAATAGAAGAGAAGAGAAAAAAAAGTCACTCCACATGAAATAGTTTTCCAAATTGGCGTATTTACCATTGTTGGATTCTCATTCAACTTTACTTACATCTTATAACGACAACAATGTTTATTATGATGATGATGATGATAATTGTAAGTACTTCCGGTCCCACTAGGGAATGCTGGGAGCAAACTGATTAAGTGGGAGTTTGAATAAAATAGTTGTTGAGTTTACCACATCATGTCATCAATGTTTCTTCAGCTTTTCAGCAGCCAGTCTCATTTTTCCACCCTAAGCACAGTGGAACTCACGAATGCATCCAACCATTATAATATTATGGAGGTCTTTAGAAGCGCGCACCTGAAATAAGCTTTGACGTATAAAAACTGATCTTGTCTATTTACATTATTCGGATGATTGTCCTCATCTTTGTCGCCATGTTTATCACAATGTTTTGGCTGTTGTACACTCCAGCCTTCTTCAGGTGGTTGGAATGTCGAACTGAACCCTTTTTTTCACTCACTGGGGTAGACTGTTCTAGTTCCACGTGCCATGTTTAATGGATGTCAGTTATTGGTTATCTCCTTATAATTTCCCTTACACTTTACCCTTAACTTGGCTGATGATTTTCATCTCATAAGATTGATTTATCAGTAATTTTTGTCAAAAACTGGAAAAAAAACACATACAGGGTGGGTCAGAAATCCCTCCCATATAACAGTAAGACATTAATGGCAATGGTGTCTTTATCTAGCTAATGTCTTATGTGGAAGGCATTTCTGTTCCACCCTATTTTTTTAATTTTTATAAAAATAGTTGGTTTGTAAGGTACATTATACAAACACAAAAAAAGAAATACATTTCTTAAATTATCTTTATTTGATTTAAAGTACTTTTCTAAAAGACAAAAGCCCATTTTTATTAAGTTGTTAAAAATAAAACTGAAGTTTTTCTTGTTAGATAATCCTGACAGGAAAAAAAAAAAATTGAAGAAATAAAAAGTATAAATTTTTTTTGTTTTATTTATCTCAGAATAAGCAAAATATATGCAACAAATGAAAAATTTTATGATGATAAAAACAAAGACAAAAAAAAATAAAAAATAAAGATAATGAACTTTTACGATTTGTTGTTTGGGGTGTGTGTGTGTGTGTGTTGAGAACAAATTAACCTTCTAGTCTATTTGTGTATCTGCCATGAGTGTACAATGTGTATACACTGACCAACATCATGACAAGGGAATTATTTCATGACAACTTGATCATTTCAACATATATACAACTGTACATGCATAGAATGTTAGCTAACAATAAACTAGCATTAACAGACAAAGTCCAAAAGCTAACACTTATTTCCTAAAAGGCAGAGACTGCCATCAATAATTCAGTCATAATAAGTGACAAAGTATTTTAATTTTGAATTAATTATAACTGGTTGAGAGAGCAGGGAGTGTAGAAACGAAGAAATAAGACAAATGGTGTCTGGGTTGAAAATTGAGGTTCTTTTTATCATTCAAAAAACTGTTCATTTTGCTCTTTAAATCTCCAGTTTTCTCAGGATTTCCCTCCATTGGATTTATGCATCATGAGCAAGACATCTACTGGAAGAGCCAAGTCAAAGTGAAAGAATTTTTGTCTAATACCATTGGGAATTGGATTAAAATAGTAACAAAATATATAAATAAAAATCAATCATTGGAAGATAATCAAAATTAAAAAAAAAAAAAAAAAAAAAAAGGAGGGAAGGAATAAAGAAGAAAATTTATCTCAAATATCAAACTAAATCAATTTTAATCTGATTTAAAATCAGATTCCTCTGCACCTTTTATATGGATTTTGCTATTTTTCTAACAATAGATACATCTATATTACCCTAAATACTGCAGATTTTAGAAGTATAGAAGTCAACAGACCATGACTGGTTTACTAACAAAAAAAGCTATGAAAAAAAAAAAAAAAAAAATATTTTGCTGAGTCCCCCCACAACCACTACAATTTTTTTTTTTTTTTCCCTTTCTCCAGGCTTTAATTTCAGCTTAGAAGCAGTGGAGAGTTTAATGGCAATATGGGGGGGGGGTCAAAGGCGTGCTTGAGTAGAGAAGCCATTGCAATTGAGCACACAACACTAAATAGAATTTTAATGCATGATTGTCAAGCGACTGACCAACAGGCTGACCACCAAAGTGATAGGCTCATTACAAATGCACAAATTTCAATCTTATAAGCATTTGGAAGCAAATTCATAGCAAAATTTAATTCTTTAAATTTTAGTATTTTTGAGGGAGGAGATGGGCAGGATTCTTGCAACAGCAAAATAGGGGGGTTTGATAAGGGGTCCAGAAAAAATGTTGATGCCAGAGAGAGGTGGGGAGAGAGAGAAAGGAAGGGAGAGAACCCAAGTGTATCAAGTAGGTTTATGGAAAAGGGTCATTGGAGCTTATAAAATAAAAGTAGCAGAAAAATCATTTTTCAATTTATTTTAAAATGGCTAGCCTGAAAAAAACCATTGGGGAGACGTTATAATTTGAAAAGGAAGATAGAAAAAAAATAATGCAAGAACATTTCTGTCAACTCCCAAATCTTTTGGAGACCCCTTACTAAATTCCCACCCCCTCCCCTTTTTAAAAATCTTATTTAAAGTGTATTTGCAATTTTTTTTGTAATTTTTATATCAGCATGATGTACATGGCAATTTATTGAAGAGTTGCAACAAAATAGTGATACCTGCAGGCATATACACATGCAATTATGTGTATGTGTGTTTGTGTGTATATGTATGTATACACATGCACATTGAGGGAAAAAAAAAAAAAAGTCAAATAAGTCGTCCATTTCACAGTGATCATCATATCGTCTGATCAGAAGCCAATTCTCCTGCGATGGAAGCAGTATCAACTGACGTACTTTCGACTTTCACATACGTTTGCATCAACTGTTGCATTTCTTCCCAGAGTGGCTCACACAATTTTTGGTAGCCTTGCTTGGTGCAGTGGAGGTAGTCGTACATGTCATGGTGGTTGATTAGGCCAGTGGTCGGATGGACAAACAAGCTGTTGTCCACTTGCAGGAAACTGCAATTGGGGATTTTGGGAATTGTTTCATCCAGGTGTTCATTCACTCGGCTGAGTTTGTCTCGCAAGGGGTTTGGCTGTCGTCCACGAGGAGGGATGCCCTGAAAGAAAACAAAAAAGAAATTAAAGTTATACCATTTACAGGAATTTACTATAGATTGGTGTGTTATGTAGGAAAAGAAAAAAGAAATTACAGAAAGCAAACAGAGGAGAAAGACAAAGACGAGGAGGAGGAGAAAGACAAAGACGACGAGGAGGAGAAAGACAAAGACGACGAGGAGGAGAAAGACAAAGACGACGAGGAGGAGAAAGACAAAAACGACGAGGAGGGAGAAAGACAAAGGCGACGAGGAGGAAAAAAGACGAGGAGAAAAGACGACGAGGAGAGGAGGACAAAAAAGAGGAAAAGACAAAATGACGAGGAGGAGAAAGACAAAGACGGCGAGGAGGAGAAAGACAAACAAAACGACGAGGAGGAGAAAGACAAAAAGGCAGCCGAGGAGGAAAGACAAAAACGACGAGGAGGGAAAAAACGACGACGAGGAGGAGAAAGACACAAAGAGCGACGAGGAGGAGAAAAAACAAAACGGCGAGGAGGAAAAGACAAAGACGACGAGGAGGAGAAAAGACAAAGACGGCGAGAGGAGAGAAAGACAAAAACGAGGAGGAGAAAGACAAAAAAAAAGACGCAGCGAGGAGGAGAAAAGACTAAAAACGACGAGGGAGGAGAAAGACAAAGACGACGAGGAGGAGAAAGACAAAGACGACGAGGAGGAGAAAGACAAAGACGACGAGGAGGAGAAAGACAAAGACGACGAGGAGGAGAAAGACAAAGACGACGAGGAGGAGAAAGACGCGGGAGGAGAAAAGACAAAGACGACGAGGAGGAGAAAGACAAAAGACGACGAGGAGGAGAAAGAAAAACGACGAGGGAGGAGAAAAGACAAAAGACGAGGAGGAAAAGACGAGGAGGAGAAAGACAAAGGCGGCGAGGAGGAGAAAGACAAAAAGACGAGGAGGAGAAAGACAAAGGCGACGAGGAGGAGAAAGACAAAAGGCGACGAGGAGGAGAAAAGACAAAGAGACGAGGAGGAGAAAGACAAAAACGACGAGGAGGAGAAAGACAAAAAGACGAGGAGGAGAAAGACAAAAAAAGCGAGGAGGAGAAAGACAAAAGGCACGAGGGAGGAGAAAGACAAAAGACGACGAGGAGAATACAAAAAAACTAAAAAAAAATAAAAAAAAAAAAGTTGGAAAAAAGTTGGAAAAAAAAAAAAAAAAAAGGTCAATTAGTTTATTTTATGTGTAATAAATAGAAAAAAATGATTTCATTGTACCTAAAATAGGAAGAATTAGTAGAATTCTTAACAGCATTATAAAAAGCATTGAATACTTTTGAAATTTTATTTTCCCTTTCTTTGCTTAAAATATGTTGACATCTGTGGTAGAGTGGCTCAAGATCCAGTCAAATTTGAGTACAGTTGCATAGAACTAATCCTGATGTGCCCAGTAATGAAAATGCTGAAAAAGTGTTTGAACTCAATACAGGCATTGTTATATCAAGCACCTGTGGGGATCTAGGGAGGGTTGAAGGAGGTGGTAGTTGAGGTGGTGGCAACAACACATTGGTTAAAAGTAACAATGTGTAACAGAAATGTAGAATAATGATTTCAACTTTTTATTTTTTATCTTACCATGACAATTATCTGGGCTTGTGGTTGTTTCTGAGAGATGATGTGTGCAATTTCTTCAATTCCTTCAGCAATTTCTTCAGCAGTGTGAGCATAATTGTTGGTTCCAATTAAGACGACAATAATCTTTACAAGTGAAGAAAAAAAAAGAAAAGTCCATTAGCTGTAGAAAATAATACATTGACAAAAAAAGACAATAAAATTCCAAATGTACATTATTTACATTATCCAAGACAGAGCAGACACATATTCTGATCTGAGACAGAAGTGCTGATCACTATGTCAATTTCATTATTTTTTTTTTATCTGTACTGTTAGGGGGAAGCTGATTTAATTCCCCTATAAAGGATGATAACTCAAAATACAATCGAGTTACTTCCCTTGTCTTGAAAATCAAGTGCAACACTTCTGGATTAAACATGGTGATTAGCTGACATGCACATAGAATTTATGGTTTCAATTCAATCAAATCCTTGCTGTTTTCAGACAGTAAATGAATAAAAATGTTTTTTTATTTTCATTCATTTTTGTTCATCCCAACAGCCTCTCACTCTTTGGGTCCTGTCATTGGATCTAACTAACATCTTTATCCACTATGCCATGTATCCTTGTGAGTTCAATACCTGGTTAAGGCAGGGGAGAACTTGGAGAGGGAAATTAACAGTAAATAACTGACATCCATTAGACATGGCATGTGGAACTAGAACAGTCTACCCCAGCGAGCGAGCGAAATAGAGGGTTCAGTTTGACATTCCAACCACCTAAAGAAGGCTGGAGCATACAACGGCCGAAACGTAATAAACGTGGCAACAAAGATGAGGACAATCGTCCGAATAATGTAAATGTACATAATACTACAGAACATGTGTTCCAATTTTCTACAGATAAAACAATCACAAATGATCATGGATAAAAAACTAAGTGAACAGGTTTCAAGATAAGGACTATCAGAAGTACTCAAAAGCAGAGCCATATTATATGACCTTTTAGACAATAGTGTAGTAACCAGAGCAGAGGCCAGCAACCTTTTGCTATGTACAGACAGCATTCATATTTATATGCAAGTCACAGTCAATATACTTGTTTGATAATATATTTTATATATTAATGTATAGTATGTATACTTTAGCATATATTAAAATTGAAACAACTAAATATCTTTGTGTTGTAGTAGTTATCGGTTCGGGTTTCGTGATGTCATTTGTGCTGTGTGACATTGGAAATTGCTTGGCATGCCACGTGTGGCACACAGGTCATAGGTTACTGACTGCTGAATAATTAGAGGATGGTGAGGGTAGTGGTTGTTGTATCTTTCTCTTTTTGTTTAATATCCTAGAACTTTTTTTTCTTTCTTATATTTTTTTATTTTTCTTTTTTTGATATAAAACTATTCTGCTTATATGTATACTGGACTAATGCTTTTCTATGATCAGAGTGTTGTATTTGTTTCAGGTTTGGCCCTTCTGCTCTAGAATCAGTTACTCTTCTTGAACAACCTATGTAATATTAAGCAGAAAGGGGGGGGAAGAAAAGAGACTGAGGAATGGGAGTAAAAAAGAAATGTTGGAAGTAATGAGTAAAAAAATAACCTCTATATATATATATATATATAAAAAGAGGTAAAAGATAAATAAATAAGATGCTGAAAAGTTTGTGGCCTTAAAAAAAAAAAAAAAAAGAAAAAATAATTATTATATATATATATATATAAAATGTTGAGCCATTTGCTTATATTTTGAGAATTGGGAGGGGAGCTCAAATGAAAAGGGATGCAAAACAGACAGGCAATTTTTTGCGGGTTGGTCTTTTGCAACAGTAAAAAAATTAAAAGCAAGAGAGGATCAAAAAGGTGTAAAAATTGCAATAAATTATTATTTAAGAGAAATGTTTGGTCTGATTAATGGCATAATAACCTCAATGGGTTATTTAATGCTGACAAGATTTTTATTGCTGGTAATAATTTTTCCTCAAAAAATTTAGAGCTGGTATTAAAACCTATTTTTACATTTTCATAGTGTTTTGACCCCAGTTTGGGGGTTAGCTCATAGTTGGGACCATAACAGGTGCTACCACCCAGGGTCAGGGTGGACCTGGGAGTAACCAGCAATTAAGAGGTGGTTCCACACTTCTCAAAACCTCCTGATCAGAAGCCTTGCAATTGGAATTGGTTTATCATCTTACTTAGAACATTAAGTGAAAGGGTTGAGAAAGATAAAACAGGATATAGTATGTACATTCGTTTTTATGTATATATTTGTGTAAAATTTAGATAAACACAAGCAACATAGATTGAAAAGAATAAGGGAGGGAATGAGAAGATACAGATAAAAGGAAAGGATCCCCCCCCCCGGCAAAAAAAAAAAACCAAACAAAAACAGAAGCACAAGATTGTCAACAATGAGAATTTCTGTAGGCCCAACAAAAAAATTGCTCTTAAGTGTTTTTTCTATATTTATGAGATGGGGGGGGGGGTATTATGATTATTTACATTATTCGGACAGTTATCCTCATCTTCATTGCCATATTCACAATGTTTTGGCCATTGTATGCTCTGGCCTTCTTCAGAGTGATTGGAATTTGAAACCGAACCCTTTATTTCGTCCACCAGGGTAGATTGTTCTAGTTCCATGCAACATGCCTCATCTGGATGTCTCAGTTATTTCCCTTTAACCTAACTCTCCAAGTGGATAAAGGTGTGGATTAGATCCAGTGACTAAATCCAAAGAGTTGTGAGTTCAATACCAGGCTACAGCAGTGGAGAACCAAAATACTTGGAGAGTTGAGTTAACGAGTAATAACCGAGATACCTGGCAGAGGTCTGGCATGTGGAACTAGAACAATCTACCTTCTGTGGACGAAAAAAAGGGTTTGGTTCAAAATTCCAATCACCTGAAGAAGGACGGATTGTACAATGGCTGAAACATTGTGAATATGGCAATAGAAGATGAGGATAACAGTCTGAATAATGTAAATAATCTTAAGGGTTTTGTATGAAATATTGCCTTAAGAAAAAAAAAAGAAAAAAAAAAAATTTTTGAAACTTCACTCCCAGATGAAGTAAGAAAACATTTGCATATTGCTGTGAAGAGGAGGAAGGATATTTAATAATAAATTTTAGTAACCTACCTTCAATTCCATTTTGTCCAGTTCTCCATTACTTATTCTCCATAAGAGGTTCTGTGTCTGGTCTCCCCCAATACTAAAATTGAGACTATGAAGAGGTTCAAACATTTTGCTCCAAACCTTAAAGAGAGAGAGAAATTAAAGACATTAAGAATTTATGAGAGAGCAAGTTCAAGAAAAACTATCATTGTAGAAATAAAACATCATTAATGTGTTTTATAATGAGATTCGCAGAAAGCAAATATCAGGGGATTTCTGTTTTTACAGATTATCAGGTGCATAAGGTAAAGTGTTGTCATGTAAGTTGGAATTACAAAATTTCCAGGTTATGTAAGTGGAATAAATGTATTAAAAACGAAAGTGACAACTCCAGTTCTTATCTAATATCCAAATTGTCACGACTGTTCTTGGAAAAAGTAAAGATTTCTCATTGCCTTTCATAATTTGAAGAAGCTGCCACTTCTCTAAACTAGTGCTTCTTAAATTATCTGACGTGGCATAATCGCAATTGTTTTTTTGTTTTTTTTTTCTCTTCTTCAATGTATGATGGTCTGATGAGTGAAAATTTCCAATCCAACTGAGGGAAGAGGGAGGGGGTTATGATATGCCTTCCTGCTTTCTTTTTTGAGATATGTCCTCTTCCAGGGTCATTTTGAGACTATCTGTACTAAATATGAGAACATAATGTCTTATTCATTCTAAGGCCAATCATCATTGACATAAGTCATACTAGTGTGCCAGAGACTGGTACCATATTTCTGCTATATAATTATGTACCTCCATTAGAAGAAAGAAAGAAAGAAAAAGAGAAAAAGGTTTAAAATGAATTTTTAAAAATGAAAAATCTTAAAGCTGATAGGTTGTTGGTGTGTTATTTCCTAACAGTCATTTTTCATTCACACCTGAAATTTTTAATATAATTTAGATTAGGTGGTCATGAAGGCCATGGCGTAATGTTTTTTTCTTTTTCCTCCACTTTGCCATTGATTCAGTCACTAGTTTTCATTTATGCTTAGAATCAGGACAATTTTCATAAGGTAGCATTCAAATGAAATAAAAATCTTATTTTAACCTAATTATGTACACTAATGAATCATATGCAATATAGGTGAACAATTCAACAAGAAAAAATTTTAGCTTTAATTTCAAGCTAACAGATTAAATTTAATACATTTCCAAAAACCAAAATACTTTGCTGTATTTCAAAAAATAATTTCAATTGACTGGAAGGAGTTTCTTACATTTTTTTTTTTTTGTCGAAAATAGCCGATTAGGAACACCACCTTTATTAGTCATCTTTCATTGCAATGTAATTCTCTTTATTACAAATTCTTCAGTATCTGTCTATATTCCCGAGATGAGATATTATGTACAGTGACAAGACCCAAAGAGAGTGAGTTCAATACCCGGTTAAGGCAGTGGAGAACTTGGAGAGGGGAATTAACAGGAGATAACTGACATCCATTAAACATGGCACATGGAACTAGAACAGTCTACCCCAGTGAGCAAAATAAAAGGTTCAGTTCAACATTCCAATCACCTGAAGAAGGCCGGAGCATACAACAGCCGAAACTTTGTAATAAATATGGTGACAAAAATAAGGTCAATAGTCTGAATAATGTAGATAGTGTACAAATTCTTCCAAAAATAAAATATACTTTTATTTGTGGAATATTATTTCAACATTCTTAGTATTTATTCCAGAAAAATATGAATGCAATAAAAGTTGCATCATTTTTATTTTATATTGATTTTGTAGAAAAACATGTCCATGAAAATGACCTTTTGGTATTCCTAGGTGTGATTCCCACACAGTCATATGTCAGGCTATATTGATGGTTTTATTATACATATTTTAGTCAACTGTTTTACTGTTCATTAATATCCCAGCGGTCTACTGTTTCTTTGTTTTGTTTTTCTGGAAACTCTCCGCATACCATCAGATAATGGCTTGCATATTGGCACTGGTATTCATACCACACTTTGAGTAGCACTCCTTTAGACTGGCCTGCTATTTAAGCCATAATCTTCCCCAAAGAGTATTAATGTAAAAGGAATCCTATTCCCCGTACCTATTAAGCTATGAAAAAGGTTGGGCTGGCAAAAAAAAAAACATTGGAATTTACGAAAAGAATTATGCAAGGAAATTATTAAAAGAATTATTAAAAGTTGCTTCAGATTTGACGAATCTGAAAAGTTTAATAAAAAAAAAAAAAAAAAATTATTACGTGTTTAATCGTTAATATTTAAAACAATTTTACTACAAAATTGTTTCCCTTTAAAATCAGAGTTGCTTCCCCTGTAAAGTTGTAATAGGTTTTAAAGGAAATATATGTAAACAGAAGATACAAACTGAAGATGAAGTAGTTTCATGAATATGACAAAGTTGATCTTAAATGGGATCTTGATCCTCAGCCTCCCCCACTTCTGGCAAGGTCTCAGGCACCGAGTAATGACTCCAGCCCATCTACCAAATAATAGGTACTGCGTGGAAGGATAGTTTGAATAATGGCTTAAGCATAAAGCCACAAGACCAAACAATGCTGCTGCAGTTTCAGCAGCAAATCAAATTTTACAAGATCGTGTGGGGGTGGGCGCTAGGTTGACAGTTAAGATGGGACCCATAGCTACAGAACAAAATGGATTCATGCCTTCTCCAAGTATAACTTGACTGCCCCATTTGAATTTGAACCCTGTTAAAAATAACTCTGAGAAAAAAAAAAAAAAAAAAAGGAAAGAAAAAAGTTATTCCAATATTCACTTGAAGATGAAACGGAACTAATGCTTTTAATTTAATTATATAATTAAATTTAAAGTTTTTAGCTTCCATTTTTGAAACATGGTTATTACTGTGTAGCAAAAAAAAAAAAAAAAAAAAAAACGCATTTTAAATCAATTTATAATATATATATATATATGGTTGAATTGACCAAATATGTTAGCTCTGTCTCTGATATTGAGCGCTTTCTAATAAGTACTGCGCATATAATATATAAATAATATATATATTACACACACACATCTTTTCACATAAAATGTTGCACACTATTTCAAGCCCTCTGATATGAACAAATTAAATATCTTTTGCATTTGATACTTTTTTTTTTTATTATTACAGATTGGCTTTCAATGATTCTATAGACAATACCAATATTTCTCGTAATTCCTTATAGTTCGGACATGTATATTTTTGTGCTTTCTCTTTATTAAACACTGATTAAACTTTTGGTATTGGATAGCTCTCTCTAGCCCTCTCTCTCATCTCATTAAGCAATGTCCAATTTCTTGCCAATTCCCTATTCAAGGAAGATAAAAATGAACTAGGACAAACCAATTTCATTTAATTACATACGGCTAATATCATTTTTTTTTTTTCTTTCAATTAATAGAACAATTACGATAACTTTAAATTCATATAAACTAAAGTGCTTTTAGACCTTGTTTGTAGATTATGCATCTTGCTTTTCCAGGAAGCACAAAAAGTTACAAAGATGTTTTTCTCTGCAAGCAAAAGTATTTGATCCAACAATGAATGCTTGAAAAAAATAAAATCTACACCTGTCCAAAGAAGGTGTTAATGATAAAATAATAAATAGGATTGACAAAGTGTGTGATACTTATGGAAAGCTGCAAGCAAGGCTTTAAAATAAGAGAGGAGAGTTTGAAAACCAAAATTTAAAGTTTAGTGTGCAGTTCTCATCCCACTATTGCTGTATGAATCTGAATCAGAGACACCAAATAGAAAGCATATCATACAACTAGATATTTTCCATAAGAGACGTCTTAAAAATATCTGGTTTCACATGGAAAGAATCTCAAATGAGCAGGTGTTTGATAGAGGAGATATACAAAGCAGAGGCCTTCTTGATATGGTCTCAATTAAAACGGGCTGGCCAGGTTGCGAGTGACAAAAAAATTGCTAAAACTTCTCACTTATTGCTAACTTCAGCTATGGATGTGTAAAGTAGAAAGACTTCTTAGATACAAAGATAAAGTGAAAGATTATCAAACAAATTGGAACGCAACCATCAAAGTTTGAAGAGTATGTTGCTGACTGTAGCATACAGAGAAAAAACTGCCAGTGGCATGCAGGGCCCACATCCACATAAGGAAACTAAGGCAAGTTTAGAAGGGGGTACAATTTACTGTTCAACATTTCATGTGTGAAAGATGCTATGTGGTTTGCAAAAGTAGAGGCGGTTTAGTGTTTTACAGAAGACACAAACACTCAAATGTGGAATAAAAAAAAAAAAAAAAAAAAAAAAAAACAAAAAAACAAAAAACAAAAGGAAAAAAAAAAAAAAAAAAAAAACCAAAAAAAAACAAAACAAAAAAAAAAGCAAAAACAAAAAACAAAGCAAAACAAAACAAAAGCAAAACAAAAAACAAAGCAAAAAAAAAACAAAAGCAAAACAAAAACAAAGCAAAAGAAAAAAACAAAGCAAAAAAAAAAACAAAAGCAAAAAAAAAACAAAACAAAAAAAAAACAAAGCAAAACAAAAACGGAAAAAAAAAATCCCAAAGGAAAACAAAGCCAGAAAACAAAAGCCAGAAAACAAAGCCAGAAAAAAAGCCAGAAAACAAAGCCAGAAAACAAAGCCAGAAAAAACAAAGCCAAAAACAAAGCCAGAAAACAAAGCCAAAAAAACAAAGCCAGAAAACAAAGCCAGAAAACAAAGCCAGAAAACAAAGCCAGAAAACAAAGCCAGAAAACAAAGCCAGAAAACAAAGCCAGAAAACAAAGCCAGAAAACAAAGCCAGAAAACAAAGCCAGAAAACAAAGCCAGAAAACAAAGCAAAAAAACAAAGCCAGAAAACAAAGCCAGAAAACAAAGCCAGAAAACAAAGCCAGAAAACAAAGCCAGAAAACAAAGAAAAAAACAAAGAAAAAAAAAAAGGAAAAAAAACAAAAAACAAAGGAAAAAAAACAAAAACATTTATATAGACAGTATGGATATATAAATAAACACTGCATGGTTACTGTCAATTTCACACCAAGAATCCTTCAGACCATATCAGATGACATGAAACCATAAATATCTACAAAAACTATTATGGTAATTTACCTATGAATGCATGGACACTCCCAGTTACAAATAAGAGCAGATACTGCCTTTTAGAGAGTGTAGTTTCCAGCAGTCAACTCTGACAGTTGGACCAAACATTCTTGATCACTTGTGGGCATTTTGTATTACTGTTAATATTAATATATTTGTTTAAAATCAATTCCTTTCTTTGTGTCTTTATTTCTGGCCCCCAACAAAATATATATTAGTGAGCACTCTACACAAATATGTATAGCCAATACTTTTCACCAATAAATATAGATTTTTTTTTTTTTTTTAAAAAACAGTTTTCATACATACTTCAGTTTGACCAAGTTGTTGAAATAAGGAATCTCCAAGAAACAAAACTTCTGGTTCCTTTTCTGCTGCTTCACTGATGAACCTTTCATGCTGGAAAATAAAAAAAAATAGGGTCAAGACACAGGCAAAAAAAAAAAAAAAGTGTAGGGTTCAAAGAGTTCAGAACTACAAGAGTTAACAGAAGTTTGTAATTTATACAAGAGAAAATTGAAATTGTATTTATAGTATGAGAAAATTATGATTAAGAAGCACACACAAAAGTGCTATTGCAGACAAGAAAATATCTCCCAAGTATTTTTTTTCAAATCTATGACAGGTTATTTAACAAGTAATAAAAGTAACTAGAGCAAAGAATATTGGCAAAAAATAGCTCTGCTATAATTCATATGAATGCAATTATTAAATATTTAGAAAAAAACTAAAAACTGATGACAACCCAATGCCAGCTGCCCCAAAATTGGGATATTGGGCAATAAGGAGGGGGGGGGGTGTTATAGATAGAAACCTATTTTTTTTTTTTTAGAAAATCCTATTATAATTGTGCTTGTACCTCCCTTTGTTAAATCACATGACCATTATACCCTGCCAATACCTCATAAATAATGGACTATTCCGTTTTGATCATGCAGTGGTGAAAGGACACTACTTGGTTCCAGTGAGAAAATGAATGAATGAAAGAAAGCAAAGATAGAAATGTTTAATGACTGTTTCAGTGAAATAGAATAAACGGTCAATTTTCAAGTCTTTTCATTTGTACCCCCTTACTCCTTACAATAACGACCAGCATTCATATTTATGATTGTTATTACAATATTTTGTTAAAGTTGTTATGCTCAAATATTCAACGATGTGATGGGGGGGGGGAATTTCTATGGATATTTTATTGTAGAACTTGCCAAGAGCTAATTCAATCATTAACTTAAAAATATTTTGCATTTTTCCACTCCTGTACTTAATTCTTAACAGACTTTATACCTATCTTTTAAAAACTTATATTTTAATTATAACAGTACAAATGTTAAAAGCTAAATTAAAATTAAATATTTAAAAAATCATTCTGTGTGTGTGTGTGTGTGTGTATATATATATATATATATATATATATATATATAAGAAATATACTCTGCTATATTTATGGGATAAAGTGCTCAGTATCAGAGAAAGAGCATGTGTAAATATAAAAGTGAACATTGAAGTCAACACTTAAAAGGCGACAGGCCGTTTCATGCTAGACGCAATCGTCAGGTCTGACGATTATGTCTAGCATGAAACATTTATTTATTTATGTGTGTGTGTGTGTGTGTGTGTGTGTGTGTGTGTGTGTGTGCAGACAGAGATCATCACCCTACAGAAAAGATCAAGTAGTTTAAAATTTGCCCACAACTGCCTATATTCACATTACAGAGAGAGCATGTACGGTGGGTGACTTCTAGCGACAGTGAGCTCTGATGCAGGTATTCTGTTAAAGCATTGTCATGCCTCCCCACAAAGTCTGGCTAGGATCAAAGTGTCACCTACCTAGCTTGGGTCAGAGTTTATTATTTGTGCTCTGAGCGAGAGTCTCTCTCTCTCACACACAATTATAAGGAACTTCTGAAGGATTCTTGGTTCAATTTTTCTATATAGAACACAAAATGTTAACATTTCCAAAATGACCAAGTATTTTAAAAGCATTACAGAAAGAAACAGGTGAAAATGATTTCTCTAATTTAGAGCAAAGAAAGGAAGTAAAGGTAAGAGAAGTAATGTCAAGGTGGTGTTGTGCAAGACCGCAAAGTAGGTAATGAGAGAGAGAAAGAAAAAAATTGTCCCAATAATTATAACTGTGTTGAGACAAGCCAGGTAAAGTGTGCATTGTCTGATTAAGTTGGTTGGGCCAGACTGAACAAGTTCCTCCCAAACCACCTGTTTGCTTTGTCAAATTGTAGACGATACTTTGAAGTCTGTCCTAAAAGGAAAAGTATTTAAGCAACCAACTGGTTTTTATCAGCTTGCATTCACTCTCAACTATAAATGAAGTCTGGGAAATTAAATCAGTTTTTTTTTGTGTTAGCAATCTTTACATAAATTCCTGACCCCTGACAATCCCTCTGTAGATTTTAATATTCAAATTTTGTGAGTCAGCTTGCATGTTGCACGAGAGAAAGAAAGAATACAATTAAATCTGGTAAGAATTAAAATGCACACAAGGTTCCTTAATGCAAAATGTTGAAAAGGTAAGGAAAAAAAGTGAAATTTTCAAAATTACACTTGATCTTTTAGAACAGACTTCAAAGTATTGTCTATCATCGAGTAAGAGCTACAAAGGATAGGAAGTTGTGGAGAGTCGTGACCGCCTATATCCGAAAGGTACTGAAAAGAAAAAAAAAATTATACTCATTCCTAAAATGATGGGCATCAATATAGAAGAAAGAAAAAAAGAAAAAACAAAAAAAAAAACGCGAAAATTTGAGAAATCAGCATTAAATGTCAAAAAGCATAAGTTTTTTTTTTTTTTACAGATTGGTTTATGTACACAGGAATATATATATATATATATATATATATAAAAAAAACGCGTCCTATTGACAACATCAATATTTAGTTTCTTCAGTCTTTTTCACCTCGCTCCATAAATATCTCAGGCAAACACGAGTTATTTCCCTTTTATCATTGCCGATATAGAGGAATTTTTAAATATATCAACTTAGAAAAGATGTAGAATTTAACAGCTTTCCAAATAAATAACACTGTCCCATCGAATGTACGTTCCGAAATTGTACCAAATGAACATTTTTTTTTTGTTTAAAATCAATCGACTTTTTTTCTTTTTTAAACAGCTTATCAACCATTTGTTGGTTATTTAACCAAAACATTTTGCATTGAGTGAAATTAACAAGATTTTCAAGAATATATTTTTTCAGGACTTCTTGGTTGAACCAAGTTTCAGTATAACCTCACATGAAGATTTTCCCTTTTTTTTTTTTTTTTTAACTGCATGAACTGTATCTACAAACTCTCTCTCTCTATATATATATATATATATATATATATATATATATGCGCGCGTGCACACACACACATCATTATGAAATTTTATAAAAATACTTCTATAAATATCCTGCTCATAAATTTTTTTTTTTTTTTTAAATAGAAAAATTCATTTCAGGAAACATCTGGTAGCTACAGATAGGAAAGGAGTGTGCTGGAGGAGACAGTTTAAAACTGTTATGCTGAATAACAATTTGAAAAAACCTAATGTCAGCCACAAAAGAAAGTGAAACAAAACCAGAGTTAATTTGAAAGAAAATGACCAAAAGTTAAAAATAAGCATGATTAATTCTCAACAGGAATCTCATAATAAAAAAAAGTCGTTATGAATCTCATTTTATGCTCCAATTAACAAAAGCAAGTGGATGATTATACACTCAAATCTATACAGGCTTATGTAGAAGTTTGTAGCTGACAAAAGCAATTATCTTGCACAAAAAATCTTTGCACTTAGCCCAATACTTCATAGATCCCTTGAACCAAACATCAAATGACCAACTGTATCAAGCAACAGACTTAATGATCCACCCATGTATTGCGAGTAGGTACAATACAAGTTGTGTTGTCTAATCTTTTAATACAATAAAAACTTGATAAAAAATATCTTAATGCTTACTGTTTCAGTCAATGCATTTTCCAGATAAGAGTCCATCGAGAAATCTGACCTTTTTTTTTTTTAGTCCAATCAGAATTGGATCAAACAATTTTGTTCACATTTTTGTATCTAACATACTTAAGTAGGTATTTTTAATAAGTGCTTTGTTTAGTTGCTGTGTAATTCAAACCCAGGGGCACATACACAGGCGCACACACACATATATATATATATATATATATATATATATATATATATATAAATAAAAGGTGTGTAAATATATAGGAAAGAACCATTAGGTTAATAATCTGAAATTCTTTAGTATTTTTGTTTTTATTTTTTAAAAAGTGCTTGATACACAAGTAGAGCCTATATAATAATTTAAAAAAAAAAAAAAAAATATGATTCAACACTACATAGGAATTCTCATGTTTCAAACTCAGTCACTGTGTTTATCCAAAAATAAAAACTCTTAAATTCACCTTCATCCCTGTCATGTAGCAATGGCTTAAGGGTAGAATCTCTGACTGATGCCAATTCAGTCGGATTTTGATCTTAGCTAGAAGCAATTGAATGTCTAACCACACTGATGAGCTGTGATATAGTGAAACATTCTGTGGATGACAATATACAAGTGAACTAGTTTTCAAACTTATCAAGGTTAGAGTGTTGGATTTGGAGCAATAATATTAACTTATAGATCTTTTCATTTCTTTTCTCTGCATACACAGTGTTAAGAAAAATGGTATGTACCCCACAAAATTTAAAAAAAACGAAAGCATATCCTGATTAGAAGTGCCCCCAAACTTGATAAAAAACAAAAAATTTTAGTGTCAAAATGTTTATTATCAAGAGGAAAAACCAATGTATTTTTTTTATTATTGTATTAAATTTAATCCTTTGTAGTACTTTCAAAATTTTGGTTAAAAATCTAGTTTTTCTTGTGCTAAAGATTAGTATTAGAAAAATTTAGTCTTTTTTTTTTTTTTACAGTAAAATTTGGAAATTCTTGCAAAAAAAAAAAAAAAAAAAAATTATCAGATGTTAATGAAATTTTCAGGACTTATTCACAAATGAATGAAAAAAAAAAAAAATTTTTTTTTTAAAAATTACATCCATTACACTATTTACATAACTCAGACTATTGTCCTAATCTTTGTTGCCATATTTATTACAACATTTCGTCAGTTGTATGATCAGGCCTTCTTCAGGTGGTTGGAATGTTATTTTGCTCACTGGAGTAGACTGTTCTAGTTCCACATGCAATGTGTAATGGATGTCAATTATCTGTTAATTCCCCTCTCCAAGTTCTTCACCGCCTTAACCAGGTATTGAACTCACAACTCTCTGGGTCCTGTCACTGAATCTAACTAACGCCTTTATCAACTGTAGATAAAGGTGTGATAAAATAGGAGTGATAACTATAGTAAATTTAAAGCAACAATTTTAAAAATTCAATAAAACA